AACTACTAGAAATGTCTACTATACTCAAAACTAGTAAGTTGGCTCTATATCTCACCTTCTCACCCATCATCCATCCTTGAAGTACTGTATCTTTTGACTCATGTGTCTCATCAACCAGCAAAACTGACACCATTGCTGAGTTGAAAGTATCCTTATCAATTGGAACTATGTCTGATGCTTGCAATTGACCTTCCTATTATATAAGGTGGTGGTTACATTTCCCGCTGAAATGTGCATCAAACCTTGATCCTAGAATGTATGAGAAAAATCTCTATCTGGCCACTCTCATCCCAAGAGCAGTGAATATGACTGAACCAAATCTGCCCAGCCATCCTGTGCAAAATCCACTACTAAAATATCAAGTTGAACCTTCACTCCATCCATATCATTCATTCCAGCTTTAATCAATCCAGCAGGTTTGACCTGATGTTGAGCAAACATCTTAAGGATTGAGTGTTGCAATAGATTGGCAACTGTTGGCAGATGTGTGTTGGCATAATATTTGTTCCTGAGCTAGAGTCCATGATTGCTTTAGGCACACATTTGCCATTGATCAATGGATTGCAGTAGAAAACCCCTGGATCAACTGGACATGAGTGATCCACCACATGAATTCCTGTTTGATGCAGATTACACATCAGATTCTCAATCATCTACAGGGCTACTCCAGACAAAGAAAGCTGGTCCAAAAGGCATGGAGCAATGTGAAGAAGTTGTGCTATGGTGATTGCCGGCCTTAGTAGCTGTAAATCCTCAAGTAAGGAGTATGGTGGCACGAGCAAATGGGCAAGATCAATAGCAAATGAAGTTGGTAGTGGTTGCAAGGAGTGTAGTGTTTGTGCAAATTTCTTTTTTTCAACTGTATATACGGTTGTATTTTCACACTTGAGGTTGCTTTTGTGAGTACTGACGTATTTCTAAGCTAGAAAAAGGTGAAAGAAAGTGACGGATTTCAGAAGTGAGAATTTGAAGAAGTTGTTTTCTATGAAGTTGAAGATCTGATCAAGGAAAGTTCTTTAGTGGTGAAATCAAGTCAATCAGAGTTGTGGATGAAGAGTTATTAGCTGGAAAAGTCTCAGCCGTTGATTGGTGTTTAAGTTTTTGGTAGTTTGAAAATTAGGTATAGCCATTCAGTTATTTTACAGTTTTTGTTTTCTCTCTTGGGTTCTTGAGTTCTTTCTGCTCGAAGATGGTGAGACCTCCCATAGGCCGTTGAGATCCCATCACCGTGATCATAGAGGAGTTAGTGCAGGCTCAGCACACTCAATATGAGTGATTTGTAGTTACTGTTGAAATACAAGCCCTAGGGGAGTCTTTCCCGTCTTTCTTAGTTGTCATGTATTTTTCCTGACACTTTTCTACCTGAGAGGAACTGATGTTTGGGTCCAAAGTAGCTAGTCCTAAAACCTGAGCTGTGACTTGACAAGTTGGCAAGCATTCTTGAAAAGGTTCTCTAGTAGCTGCCCATTGAGATCTTGTAGCCATAAGAATGTTTATGGATGCTTCTTTTGGTTCTTGAAATAATCCACCAAAGAGATCTACTCATCTTCTAATATATGACCCTTGACCAATTTCACTAGAAGTAGAGGATTGTTGTTTAAATCCTAAATAGGGTGCTATGGTTGGATCCAAAGCATCTGGTTGCTGCAATGGATCTTTCTCTCCTTGTTGATATTTACCCAAGCCCATGCCTAATATCCATCCTTGTTTTTGCAACAGTTGATATCCTTTGTTATCTTTAGATATTCTTGCTCTCCACGTTGGATCAGGCTCTACCAAACAGATAGAGTTCTCCACCTATACATGGTTGACCCTGGAAGATGGCAAACTTCTGGCAATTGTAGCTGTATGTGGCAGCATTATTGTGTGATCTGGTAGTGGCCTTGGAGCATACACTTGGGTTGGCAAAGGAGGAGGAAGTGCAAAGGGCATTGGAGGTGTAGGAAGTCGATGTTGTTGCTGCAATTGGAATGCTTGCTGCTTGATGAAGAATCAATCCTCAATATAACCTGGCTTACTACAATAGAAACAAGCAACTGACAATTGATAAAAAGCTGGTGCAACTAGTGCTTCCCAAGCTGGTTGAGCAAATGAAGGCCATTGAGCTGGAGTGGACCACTGAGGGGCGCATACCCTAGAGGTGCTGCATTGTAATATTCTTAGGGAAAGCCATGCCCACAACTATGTGGACAATAAAAACTCCCAGTTTGGTAAACTGGAGCAAATGCAAGCAATGTCAACCCTTTGGAGTGTAGCTAGGCATCATTGCTGGAGTCTCCAAAGGTGTAGCACTGACAATATTGCCAAGAACAGAATCTTGTCCTAGTTGTGTAGCTGCCAACTTTGTAAGGAACTTCTAACTATCAATGATCATCGTTAAGACCATAGTTATCATTTTTGTAATATCCTACATGCAGGATTCTAGGGAGATTGACATATCTCATTGGATGTTAAAAGTGGATGTAGAGGAAGTGGATTCTATCTCAATGAGATACTTGCATTCTTGTGTCTTTGCTTCCATTATTGCTGCTTCAACTGTTATTAGTTTCTTGCGGTGCATGTTCCTAGTCAAGTCAAGATGTAGAGCATCATTATATGCCCGGACCACCTCAAGCTTTTGGCATCGACTCCTTTGTCATTACACTTCTGGATATAAACTTAGAAGTGTTGATTGAATTGCTACAAGGATTCATGCAACTGCTGACGAAGGAGGTCTAATTCTGCCATGACACTATCTTTGCTTTCCAAGGTCTCAAACTGTGTCAAGAACAACTTTGTGAGGGTGTTAAAGTTTGCTGCTTGCTGTTGCAACACATTCAACTACCATAGTAATGCTTGCCCTGAGAGAGACAATCAGAAATAAGCTGCTTGTGCCTTGTCTAGGATTGCCATTGCTGCAAGGAATGATTTGATGCTCTCCATATATAGCTAAGGATCTTCTTCAACATCTCCTTTGAATTTGGGTAGGATAGCAACTGTGTGAGCATCAAGAACATTTTATCATCTCCTAGCTAGTGTAGGTATAGCACATATCTTCTTCTTTGTTAGCGGCAACTTACAAATTTCTTGGAATTCTTCTCTGGAGATTTGAATCCCAGATCACATTTCTGTTGCCAGCATAGAAAATCACTCCCTCCCCATCAACGTCCCAGGGTAGTTCATGAAGATCTTGATTGCATGCACCTAGAACCCGATCCTAAAACTTTTCAATCCATCTTAAGATTGCTGATCTATAATAGTACTTTCTATTTTCTATTAGCTGATCCTGGAAGGATCCCAAAACTATCCTATTTTTTTCATACCTTTCTTACAAGAGTTTTATGTCCCAAATGTAGCAGAAAAGACCACCCAGGTAACAGCCTCAAGATCCAAAGGCCATTCACATCCCTATCTGGTGTGCTAAAGATGAGAAGCTATTTCATTTCCTTGCTTCGAAAAGGGGTATAAAAGTAGTGACCCCACTCTCTCTCCTCTCCTTTATATCAGCATACATGCCCATCCATACATTTATATAGTACTAACATGCCACGGCGTCATCTCTAACTGTTAGCTGCTGGGAATATCTTGAATATTCTTTGAATCCTCCTTTTCTTCCACGGAAACACTCAAAACTTCAAAAATCTTGGGAAACCTATGAAAAGAGAAAACCATAACCACAATTGATCATTGGCACCATAACATACATAAAATCTACTTTACAGTAACCATAAAAAATTCTTTGCTTACACCTTCCATAGGGATTTCCGCAGCCACTCGCATGAGTATTACAAATGTATCTTGAGTAACTGATTAACTAACATATGGCCCAACCACATATGAGAACCCAGGCTCATTGGCCCCAACATCCACAATGCCACAGGATACGCTACCAGGCACACCCTCACAAAATACAGGACAAGCATGCACTTGCTGCCTGTTGAACTTCACCCCGCGAGAGAAGCAGTACTGCCCACTATGCAAAACAGATGTAGAGACTGTGTCCCATGTCGTCTATGACTGCCCAGCATACAGACAACACGAGATTCACCCCTCGTTCTTGTTTCTTCTCTTAACCTTCTGCTTACCTTTTTCTGTCTTCGCACCAGGTTCGTGCCAAACTTCACGCTGCTGGTTTCGAAGACGTCAATGCCTCGGACAGAAAGGTGGACGAAAAGGTACTCGGACACACATATTTTTGACATTTAAGCTCAAATGGCACACTAAAACTATCTCTTGGTGTTGGGCGCTATGCAGCACAACAACAGAACGAAAGCAGCCTGTATTCAAGATTTCAAGTTCTAACATTCATCTCTTGTCTACTGGGATAGAAGATTGGCTTGAGTGCCAGGAAGGCGCTTGACCATGTCCGCAGCAAAGGCCAGCACAGTTGCATCACGATCAAAGGATTGGATACATGCGGCTGTGGAGTTTTGGAGTGAAGCAGAAAAGTTCTGTAAGTTTATGTGAGTCAGTCTCTTCCAAGTTGACCATTGTTGCCTGGAGGGTCTGCGTAGATTCTCCTTGTGAACTGGGCCACTTTGATGAAGTATCTCACAAGCTGTACGCTATTACTTGCAATGTTTTTTGTTTTTTCAATAATTACAGAAATGCTATTTACTAACATTTGTCGTCAGTTCGCTTTATTTAGGTAAATACCTTTTGGACGTTGGGTTTATCAGTCATGCAAGGACTAGGGTCTCCGTAATAGTCTAGATGTGTGAAGCAGTGCTGTCGCTCCGGGAGCTCATGCCCGCCCATGAAGGAAGCCCCACCCGAGAAGATTTCAAGAGGGCAAGTTGGATCAAACTGCGCTGCAAGACTTGTGGCGAGCCCTCCAGTTTTCTTTATTTTAACAATCACAAGATCACGCAGCCGCGATACAATTGTAAGGCCTGCCGTTTTACCGTCCAGTTAAGGGACGAGAATCTCTTGAGGGAGCTTCGTTTGATCGATTAAGTAAACCTTATAGACAAGATACGTATCTGCCCTAAAGTAAAGTATATATCTTCTCGTTCTTGTTCTTTACCCAAAGGCACAAGAATGCAGCGCGTCTCGAGAGGCGATTTCATGGCGGAGCTGGAGCTCGTCTTGTTGAAGCTGTCCGCGATCGATCTGTGCCAGGCGAGGTGCGTGTGCCGCGAATGGCGACGAGCAATCGACGCTCCCAGCTTCCGGGAAGGGTACGCGCGCTCCCATGGCTGCATTCCTCACCTTTCCCTCAGGCTCGCCGAATCCCTCTTCGTCAAGCCAGTCGACAAGTCCCCGCGCAGCGAGTGGCGCCTCTTCCAGACGCTCCCAGAGGGCATGACCATCGCCAGCACCGACGCGGGCTTGCTGTGCCTGGCCACGTTTGGGGACTTGGATCGGCCCTCCTCCATCTACGTGTGGCGCTACAGCGATATCAACTCCTCCCCGGTGAGAGTTCCGTTGCCACCAGTGCCCATCGACTGGAGTCGCATGGTGGTGTACAGCCGCGACAGGGATCGATCGACGCCACAGTTTCGCGTGGCTATCTTCGACAGGCCCTCGCTTGCGTTCTACGTTTACGACTCAGCCCTCAGCCAGTGGTCCGTGCATGGGGACTTGTACCCGTCGGGCCGGAGGGGCGACCCAGACATGGGCTGTACCATTCACAACAACGGCTTCTATCCGATGTTGCATCACGGTGTGGCGGTGATGCTTTGCACGGAGACGTGGAGGGTCTTGCGATACAACATGTGGGACGGTTCGTGGAGCATTGCGGATCTTGACACCACCGAGTTGGAGTTGGGATCCAGGTGGGCGTTTGTGCTGTTGGATCCGGGCCGACTTTTCGTGCTGAGCGAGGACGACAACACGGAAGATTTGGAGGGACTGATCGTCGCGGAGATGCAGGGAGAGAAGTGGCAGGTCGCGTCGTGCTGTGACGAGCTTGGCGATGTGGAACTGTGCGGGGACTTGATATGCACCGATGGGAGCAACAGCATATGGCTGGTCGACTCGGACTGCTCACGCATCATGCACTTTGGAGTGGTTTCCAAGTGCTGGTCGGAGGTGGAGACACCAGACACTTTTCAAGGACACAAGGAACTCGCGTGGTTCTCCTGTTAAGTAAGTTGTTTCTTTCTTTCTCCCGTTTTTTGTATAAGGTTTTGTCTCCAGGAGCCGAAAACAGCGAAAGCGTTGAGCATACCTGCATTAGATGACGTGCATTCTCTTCTGGCAGCGCTCTTATGCGGGTATACAAGTTGAGCGAAATTTATGTTCTGCCGACCGTCTCCTCTTGGCTGCAAAAGTTTTCTGTGTGACCACCACTTTTTGTTCCAGCTTCGTTTGATCGTCTAGATCGACGTATAGTATCAATGTCTACTTTTTAAGCGGGTCCATGATTGGAAAAAAAGTATTATTTAAGCAAAACGGAAGTCAATTCCATTAATAAAATAAATAGAGCTTACCTTTTACTTTACTTTTTATATATTTACTAATTTTCTATACACTAAGTATGACATTTCATGGTGAAAAATATGTTAAAAGTTTTATTTTGACTTGCATCTGATTTGATATGCTAATATCTTGTAGACCAAAGGCTACTTCTAAAGAATGTCAACGTCGTATTATGTTGTTTCATGGAGGCAGCCACACAAGAACTTCACTGCATTGGAATGGCTTGCAGCGTGCAACAGGGACTTGCTTAATGAGAGCAGTTGACAACAGTTTTGGAATGTTGTGCAAGGATTGGATCATTGCAGTTTGTTGAGGCTGCAGGCTTACACAACAGGCACCAAATTTCTCTCCATTGCAACATGCATTCACCTGCAGCACTTTGAGGGGGTGGCAAGAGATGCCAAAGATGCCAACGTTTAGCACATGTTTGAACAGATTGTGTTTGTCATGGTTCTACAACAGTGAAGAGGAGTTGTAGGATAAGCCTTTGGCTGCCATATGCCACTTTAATGAGTTTGTGCTCTCTATGGTATTGCAAAGCATGGCACTATTGTGGCACAATTTTTAGAACGTGTTTAGCGTGCATATAGGAATTTTTATACATATGTAAGTAACATATACATAGTTGTATGTAGCGCTCAAGAAACTTATGTATGTGTAAATGGTGGGTCAAAACATTTATTTTCCAATCCACAAACAAGTGGAACTTTACATACTTATTTTCCACATGTTCCAGAACAAATTCAGTCAGGAGTAGCCAAGCCATGGGATCAGCAAGCTGGGTTTCTTCACTTGCAAAATTCAGAAAACCTCCATTACAGTGGTTTGAGGTGCATTTCCTTCCAATTAAAGGCAAACTTGAATAAAATATTCTTGAGGTGTTCATCCTACACTTTGCAGACCAATTCGATTACCTCTGCACGTCTTAGAAATAATAGTACAAAGAGTACCATTTGTCTGCTTCACTTGTCCATTATAACAAAGATAATATGAAATAGATTTCCTGCGCTTCAAACTATAAAGTTCAGTGAATGCAGCTACCACTTCGTTTAAGAAATAAAAACCTCTATCATGTACTAATTCCAAAGGACAACCAAACCTAGTAATAATTTACAAAAACTTAACAACTTTTCTACCTGTAGCTTCCTTCAACACTTTTACCTTAGCCTATTTGGTTACATAGTCAGTACAAATTAGCATGTACTTGCAATGAGTATGCTTGCTTGCTGGAAAAGGCCCAACAAAATCAATTTCCCATTTCTCGAATGGCAACATTGGCAAAAGTGGCTGCAATGGCATTATATCTCCTTTTGATGATTTCTCAGTTTTTTGACATGGATCCCAACCTCTCACATACTTTGAAATATTCTGGTGCATAATCAGCCATTAATATCCTGTCCTCTTTACCAACTAGATTTTAGCTTCCTCACAAAGATGTCCTCCAAAAGGTGATTCATGACATGCAGAAATAACTTCAGATACCTCATGAACTAACACACATCACAGCAACACTCTATCATTTCCCACATGGTAAAGTTGCCCACCATCAAAGTGAAGTGCCCAGATTGAAGAAGTAACTGCTTCTTCTCTTTACTAGAGAAATCCAGAGGATTACTTGCCAGATCCATGGCGACATGGAAATGGGGCAGCACGCGGTGCGCGGGGCGATTCGATTGGAGGAATCGCCCGGGGTTTCATCCGTACTCGTGCTACGCCGGCTGTGTGATCTTGCACGGATGACATCGAGGAGGCCTATCGTCTCATTGTTCTCACGCTGGTAAGATTCTAGCCAAAGTTCTTAGTGTTCTTATTGTGTGCTTGGCAGACGCATCCGGAGTATAGACCCAGTAAGAATGCGCACTTGGTTCCACCGTTTTGTGGATCGGACCTGGTCTTTAGCTCGACGCAGCGGAGCAGCCATGTCGTTGGTAAGTGTAGCGGATTGTTTCCAAATGGTTCTCTCATTTTACTCTTTGTTCTATGACGAGTAAGTGACTGGATGGCGATGACGATATTGCTCGTCCCGATTCGGAGCTTGTGTTGAAGAAGGAGCTTAGCTGGGCTGCGCATCTCTCAGTACAGGTTTGTGTTCGTTTGTGGACAAGTCTTTCTGTCGTTCTTACCAGGCGTGTTTATTTCCAACTCCAAAGGTATTTGGCTGTGCAAACTATGCGAGCTGCGTCAATCAGGTTCTCCAAGGCCTGGGGAGCAGGATGGTTTTGGATCCTAAGAGGTTTGTTTCAGCTATGGCTTAGATTGCCATTGCAATTTGAGGAGGAAGAGCTGAAGATGCTACATATCTGGTAAACATTGGTTTTGTTCGTGTTTCTTCAATCTGTGATTGCTTCGGGAGAGTCAGTAAACCGGTTTGTGATTCAATGGGGAATGGTGGCATATGTTTTGTACCCTTTGCGAGTATCATAAGATTGTCTTTACAGTCCACTTGTACCCAACTGAGGAGTATGGGACTCTAAACTACATAAACTCGTAACCAGCGGGGCGTGCCGCTTGACATCACGTATGTTTCACTGTATATTCATTCATTATCCGCGGCGATCCTTTCAGAGCACCACTTGTTGGATTGGAGAACCGTTAAAAGGCCCGCTATCCTCCATTTAAGTGTAACTGCATAACACAAAGTGGCGATTTCTAGTAGCCAGAGTCACCAGAGTCCGATTACAATGCTGTTTAATCGCTCAGTGCAGGTTTGCTGCCCGTGTTCCACAGTTGACCATTTAATACTTTCATAACTTTCTAGCTAAAGGTCAGCCTTCCACGTGGAATTTGGCTCGTATCTTGGTCCATATTCCACGTCAGTTTGCTTTATTTAGATAAATACCTTTTGGACGTTGGGTATATCAGTCATGGAAGGACTAGGGTCTCCGTAATAGTCTAGATGTGTCAAGCAGTGCTGTCGCTCCGGGAGCTCACGCCCGCCCATGAAGGAGGCCCCACCCGAGAAGATTTCAAGAGGGCAAGTGGGATCAAACTGCGCTGCAAGACTTGTGGCGAGCCCTCCAGTTTTCTTGATTTTAACAATCACAAGATCACGCAGCCGCGATACAATTGCAAGGCCTGCCGTTTTACCGTCCAGTTAAGGGACGAGAATCTCTTGAGGGAGCTTCGTTTGATCGATTAAGTAAACCTTATAGATTAGATACGATGTTCCATATGATTTGATTTACTCTTTAAACATTGGGTATCTGCCCTAATTCCTCGCATATGCTACGATCATCGGGACTGGCCCTAGCTTCGATTGTTCCTCGCGAGGAGCTCCATCAGTTGGGAGACACAGCCAATTGCATCTATAACTCACAAGACGAGATCCCTACCGGGTTTTAACACCATATGCGCCTCTTGGGCATTTGCTGCAATTAGGAACGACATCCCATCTGGGCATTTGATCGAATCTCTCTGTAGCTTCCTCCATCCCTCCATGGTCTCCAAAAGCGGAAAATAGGTCTGTCTAAGTTACCTAGTGTCGTAAGGGCATTTGACAGAAGATCTTGTCGGCTTTCTCCAGATGCCCATTGAAGGCATAGCTCTCTCCGAGAAGCCACACGTCACTGTGCTTCACAGCGGATCTCAGCGATGTTTCTGGTGAGTTTTGGAGGACTCTTGATCCATTCTATGCGATTTTGTTTCCAGATACTTTTGTTTTCAAGGGACTTCCTTCCCGGATGGTTTGCTGAGCCACGCGTTTCTACTCAAGCATTACCTCTCTCCGAGTTTGGGGAACTCAGGTTGGTCGTTGTAAGCAACCGGTTTCTAATCTTGTGTCTTTCAGAAGCTTGGAAATTGTGAAAATTTCATCGCTACAGTGAAAAGTATGCTGTGGCTGCATTCCTCACCTTTCCCTCAGGCTCGCCGAATCCCTCTTCGTCAAGCCAGTCGACAATTCCCCACGCAGCGAGTGGCGCCTCTTCCAGACGCTCCCAGAGGGCATGACCATGGCCAGCACCGACGCGGGCTTGCTGTGCCTGGCCACGTTTGGGGACTTGGATCGGCACTCCTCCATCTACGTGTGGCGCTACAGTGATATCAACTCCTCCCCGGTGACAGTTCCTCAGTGCCCATCGACTGGAGTCGGATGGTGGTGTACAGCCGCGACAGGGATCGATCGATGCCACAGTTTCGCGTGGCTATCTTCGACAGGCCCTCGCTTGCGTTCTACGTTTACGACTCAGCCAGTGGTCCGTGCATGGGGACTTGTACCCGTCGGGCCGGAGGGGCGACCCAGACATGGGCTGTACCATTCACAACAACGGCTTCTATCGGATGTTGCATCACGGTGTGGCGGTGATCCTTTGCACGGAGACGTGGAGGGTCTTGCGATACAACATGTGGGACGGTTCGTGGAGCATTGCGGATCTTGACACCACCGAGTTGGGATCCAGGTGGGCGTTTGTGCTGTTGGATCCGGGCCGACTTTTCGTGCTGAGCGAACACGGAAGATTTGGAGGGATTGATCGTCGCGGAGATGCAGGGAGAGAAGTGGCAGGTCGCGTCGTGCTGTGACGAGCTTGGCGATGTGGAGGTGTGTGATATGCACCGTCGACTCGGACGGCTCACGCATCATGCACTTTGGAGTGCAAGTGCTGGTCGGAGGTGGAAACACCTCCAGACAATTTTCAAGGACACAGCGTGGTTTGATCGTCTGGATCAAGCTATACTATTATATGATCTACTTTTTAAAAATTGATTCTGTCCACTAAGATAGATCCCCTAAAAAAAGTATTATAAAAAAACTGAAGACTCATTTTCTTAAATACGTAGATGTAAAATAAACAAAGCTTACCTTTTAACTTTCTTTTTATTGTTGTTTTAATACATTTACTAATTTTCTATCAATTAAGATGAACACATGTATGCTTAGATAGTCAAAAACATACTCATTGAAAAATATGTTAAAAGTTTGATGAGTAATTTTTTTTTTTACTTGCATCTGATTTTATCATTAATAATATGCTAATATTAATTTTAAATAAGCAAGAATATCGCTTGGCAATAGATTGCACCAGAAATAAAATGAAATATTTTCGAGAAGTTAACATCATACTATCAGATTAATTATTATAGATAAATCCAACCAAAGATCAATTATTTTAACTAAATCCAACCATAGAAGTGATTTATTACCACATAGAAGTTGCTAAAAAAGAGTTAGAAGCATTGACATTTTCATAAATCCTTAAATATCCTAAAAAAATATTTTGGAAATAGGAAATTATTAAAAGTTACTCTCCATTTAAATTATTGACTGTTTCCACACAACTTTTGAGGCTAAACAATGGAAATGATCATCACATACCATATGAGGTGAAGGAACATCAGGGTGGACGTTGAACACTGCCTGTTGCAACTGATTAAAGGAAGGCTCCTCAAACTCTGCAAGAAAGCCCTTGTCCAGCACCTGGCGCCGGATGGTAACTACCAAGTCCCCATCCTCCTCCTGGGCAGCAGCCGACCATGGCAGATCCATCCCGGTCACCTTTACCATTGTCTACAGAATGCCCTCGAGATCTGCTGAAGCATCAATCCCATTGCCCAACATCGAGTTCATGGAGCCAAACTCACACTACCACAATTGTCTGACACAAATACAGCAATCCTGAAGTCGAGAAGGTAGAACCTCTCCAAACCAACTCCTTCCTTGCCCTCATGGTAAGCAACCTTCCTGGGGCTGATGTCCCTGTGGATAATCCCCAGCTTGTGCAGCTTTAGCACCGTCTCCAGTAGGCTGGCCCCCATCTCCGTAGCATCTCGGATAGGAAGCGTCTTGCCATGTAGCGATTCACCAACATAACTCATGAGCACGATTGGGCAGCTTTTCCAACGAAACAGCTGTAAAGCCATGCCCAACCACAGTATATCAGTGATCCCAATTGAGCTCTTCAGCCAGGTTGAGAATGAGATCCGTGTTGCTGCCAGTGGATGCAAGATCAGCTATTGGAAGACCAAATCCTTCGGCTGCGAACTTGGCTGACTGCATGGAGCCTGAGCATCGCCTGCTGCTTGCCATCATCCAGCCGAACCAGATAGCAGCCTCCACAGAAGAGGAAGTTCACGTACATGTGGACGAGCTCCAGCTCCCATATCTCGCCTGAATCAGACTGCACGACATAGGGAAGGCTCCAGCTTTGGAACACTAGCTCCTGGCTTCATGGTGAAATGGTTGCCAAAAAAGTGCAAAGCACAGAAGATCTGGAAGAGGAGTTCCAGCAGCGCCAAACTATCCACATGCACCACTCCTGGTGTCACACCTGTGGCTCCATCACTCTGCAAGCTCCTTTGACAACATGAGAGACAGGCACAGATTTATTACCTATGGTCACATTCACAGATGATGCAATTGCATTTGTGAATACAATCATAGGTAATAAATCTGTGCCTATAGACACACTGCCCAACACCACCTTCTTCTTGGCCCAAGCACCTTTCCGGCGCTTCTTTGCCCTGTCCAGAACCTCACCCCTCATCAAGCTTGGATTTGTCGTTTTTAAACTCCACGTAGATGTCGCACCACTCGTAAGCATTACCTGATACCACCCTGGTCGGATGGACGATGCCAATAGCCAAGTCAGGTAAGCTGGTGTCGGCCACTGCTGATCTTGCAAGTTTGGAACCGGTAGCACTTTCTGAAGTTGCGGATGTCAACATTTTCCGTGGTACAGTGGCCAAGTACCAGTTGTGCTGCATGCTGGTAGACCTTGCCAAGATCATCGTAGGAGTCATCCAGCTCCCACACGCACTGGCGGATTTGCCAGCAGTTTGGATGGGAGCCAGATGACTCCTATGATGATCTCAGCATCACCGCTTGATGTCGGCCCGTACCTTTGTGAGGAGATTTGGGACGTTCCTTGCAAGCATTTTCACAACCGGCCCGATTTCAGCATCACTGAGCCCAGAGATGGCCGCGGTGGACTGTCACAATCCGTCCATCATTCTGATGCGCATTTTCCGAGCGCAGACCACTCTTGAGCTCATGAGCTGAAAAGTTGAGCTCGCGAGTTGAGCTCAATTTTCAATTGCAATTTCATACAAATATTATAAATTTAAAAAAATTAAGGTTATAGAAAACCTAACTTTATACTATATTTATGGATAAAACTATTTTAGAGGAGGCTTCTTGTCCAATAATTTAAATATTTACTATATGTTATTTTATTTAAGTTTGCCAAAACATAAAATAAAATGGTTCTAATGTTGGTAGTTTCAACTCTTGACATCTTTCTTCTTAGGGTAGTAATTCAAGGACTAGAAGCTATAATATTCATCCCATTGCATAACACAGCCAAACCATATAAAAGATAGAAAAAGAGGATAATGAGAATAATGATCATATATTAGAGATAAACGCAATGATAAAGGGTGCAACAATTTAGGTGATAAAAAATGCCCTCCTATTTATTTTAAAAAATTACAATTCCATGACTTTCA